GTGTACAGCTGATGAAGTTACAGTCGACTTGGGCTGGGAAGACACGCAGCTGTAATGTTGTAGGAAACATAAAAAATACATTGAAGTCTTGGATTTTGTTTCAGTCAGTTAATTGGCAGCATCGATCTGCAAGCATTCCTGGATATCCACTTTGGATAAACTTGTTTTTAATGATTATTGGTTAGTTAACTGCCTGTTACTGAACTCTCAGCACTTTACATACAACAGTTTGTGACTTGTCTTCAGAGAAGAGTGGTAAATGGAGTAAACAGCACAACCTATGTCAAGACCGCAGGTGATCTCACCCTGTTCTTTTTCATACATGTGCACACGTTGCTTACTTCTGCAAACGCGTTGAACACGGACACCAAAATGCAGAGAGCCTGTAAACAAGAAACCCCCTATCTACCATCCCTTAGAGGAGATGTCCAGTTCAAATGTCTTAACACTCTCAGCCTCCCAGGTGGTGAAACCTGTATTAGATGAGGATGGTTTACTGAAGCATGACTGCTGGTGTTAACAGTTGGGAATATTTTTTTGGTTCTTAATGAAGCCTTGCAAGATTGTTGCCTTTTACCTCTGCAGTTTCTTTCTAAAACGAAATGCTCAGTGGTGATGTCAGTGGCTAATATTCACATGCTGTGACTGAGAATACAGGTTTCGCTGCAAAAATAAATGCAAATGTTAACTGTTCGATCTTCATGTAAGAAACAATATACCTGTAAATTTTTTGTACTTTTATTTCATGATATTAAAATAGTAAAACTAAACAGTTGTGGCAAACAGCTGGTTTTGTGCATCTTTCTTTGTGGGAGAAAGTCAGGAATCTGATGCGTGGTCTTTTATAATGTTTCCCTCCCTTAAATGGGGGGCAGAGGGGTGAAAAAATTCAGTTGAAGCAGCAGACCTGAGAAGTGTAGCTGCTGAATGCTGGCTGGAATGAAATGGGGAGCGTGAGTCAGCGCATCTGAATTTGTGAATGCAAGCGACTGATTTGACAGCACTGTGGCTGTAAAACAGCGAGAGCTGCAGGGGGGGGGCATAAAACAGGTAAGTCCTTGCCACCCATCAGAAGTAAGTCCCTGGGCTTGGCTCATCCATACCTTTCCTGCAGGGCGGTACTGTTTGTGCCAGCGTCTTTGGCTGTAGCAGAGAAATGTTTAGATCCAGCATATTATTTGACTAACGGTTACCTGCCCAGTGCTACACGAGGGTAAACGAGGGGCTGCTTCTCTGCCTTTCTTTTTAAGAGCATCAGCAATGATGGGAAAGGCAGCTGCAAACACGTCCTGATTTCTCTTGCCATTTTCTCTTCGGTTTGGATTAATGAGATCCCAGCAGGCTAAAGCGTCCTCCCCCCTCCCTCCGGCTGGTCCGAAGGCAGCAATTGCCTGCCTTTGTTGTGCACAATGAAATGACGAGTTAAGCATTTCTGCACGAGCAGAATCAGGACTGTGTGCAACTGGCAATGACCTAATGCTGGGTTTCGGGGGGTGGGGACGGGGGGGTGACAGCATTACAGCTGGAATTGCTCCGTAGGTTTGAAAGGTATCTGGCTTGGGGGGGGATGGGAGATGGCTGCAGCCATCATAACGCTTGTTTTAGGTGGGCTTTTGGTTTGTTCGATACGACGTAAGTTAAAAAACCAAACCAAAACTCACAGACGAGAACTCAAGCTTCCCTATGACGGATCCTTGTCCAGTATCGCGCTGTCCTTTGCTGTTCAGGCTGCGCTACTTTGAGTAAGAACAGGTCCGTTTGCAGCAGCTCTTTTGGCTGCTGTGACACCAGTCCTGGGACTTCTCCTGCTGAGAACGTGGAGGGGCCACAGCTGGTTTTGGCTACTGCTGTGGGGAGCGGGGCTTTTGGTTTGGGTGGTTTGGTTTTGTTTGGGAATGGCCAGTGTGCCTATAGTTGTACTGTTTTTTCTCAGCAAGGTAGTTGGCTGGTGCTGAAGCAGTTGGGATCCAAGAGAAAAATGTATAGCGGACACTGTTGCAAAGAGTGCCTGTTTATTGGTGAGGCAGTTGACGTTCGACTCCAGTTATGGCTGCGGTATAGAAGTGGTACAGGTAGTAGATAGCTTACTGATAAAGAATGGGGAAGGAAAAAGAAAAACAAACCAACCAAAACACCAAAGTTTCTTTACAAGTTTTGAATTTCACATTATCACATAGTAACCATTTTGCTAAATACAAGCATGTTTTCAGTCACATACAGACAGCTAAATACAGCATTATTTTCACATTTCGTTACAGTGCATAACAGAAAGCGAGGAAAGTGTCTAGTATGCTTTTATTCTGGAGGTTCTGAGCAATTTCAGTCTAACATGCAGATTGTTTTTAACGTGGCAGAGACCACAGAAAGTTAGCTTTTTTTTTTTCTTTCTGTCCTAGAGTAAAAGAGCTCCTGACCTTTATCCTGTGAAAGGTATCACCTTCCGATTTCTCTAAGTCCCTCTTGCACTAGAAGTCAAAGCGTTAAAACCAGTTGTTAGAAAAGAATTCTTAGCATATCCTATAAGTTCTTCATCTTAGAAAAAACATTCCAAATTTTGTACAGATGAATCTACATTTCCTATATATTAATAAGCTGTCTAGAAAATGCAAGGAGTTAGAAAAAGATGTAATGATTTCTCTGTCATTTAATATAACCATTTATTACCTCTAAGTAGTTAGGACTGCATACATTTCCTTCTGTACTGTTCCTCTTTAGAATTACAACACTTGTATTTTTAAATTGAAGCTTTACTCTGAAGGCCTCAATGCACTTACTGATTTAGGCTTTCTGGAATTTCTCTCTGGGAGCAGTAAAGGGGAAATGTCCAAAACCCGTTCAATAAAGTCCTGGTTGTCTCGTGAAAACTGATCGTTCCCCTGCTGGCCAGGTTCCTGCACAGAGAATTACAGAATTTTACTATTGCTAAAACGCCATTTGATCCAACTTCTAACTGCCGTTAACGCAGCACTCCAGCTCTGCCCTTGAGGACAGCTGCTGCCCTCAGCCAGGCAACCCAAGACGCTCCTCGTGAACAGCGGGACCCTGAAAGACCCAAGCGGTTGCTTGGCGGACTTTCCTTTGAGAACGGAGACCCTGACCCTTTCCTACTTGTTTGTCCTTGCCTTTGGGAAAACACGACTAACAGACCTGGTCTGAGCAAACCTTGCGCTCTCCGCTGGCGTCAGCCCACCAGAGCCCACGGCAGCCAAGCTCCTCTGGCCTTCTCTGCACCCATCTGCTCCAGCTTTGCTTACCCAGGAGGAGATTTTGTAAAGGGATTTTTGGTATTGTGGGTTTTTGGGGTTTTTTTTTAAACTCTTGAGGGCACTCAACTTGACCACAACTGAACCTGCCTGGAATTCACTGGGCTTTAGCACAAGGGTTTTGATAGTTTATAGCCTATTCAAGAGCAATCAGGGGGTTGCAGTGCCCAACTCTTGCTGAAAGGTGCTAGACCACGGCCGCCCCCCCTTCCCCTAATCTGCTGCCGCTGCTGCTCCCCTGCAGAGCCCAGGAACTGAAATTGTTCCTAGAACACTGAAAATAAAATAAAAATGTTAACTCCTCATTTTCAGAGTTTTGGTTGTTGGGTTGGGTTTGGTGGCGGGTTTTTTTAATTTAATAGGTTTAATATGGAAACCACAGGGTTTTTTCTTCATACAGACCTGCTCATGTGCTGCGAACTGTGAGACCAGGTTCAAAGGGAGCAACAGCAATCAAGAAGACCCACACTTTTATAGATGGTGTAGCTTAAAAAGCTGTAACAAGTATTTTATTCTTCTCTACTTAGAGGCCTAAAATCAAACACTAGATGTTTCCTGTGGTTTTTAACCTAATCCCTCCCTCCTGCCCATTAGCAATTCGGTGTATAAAGCTTGCAAACTCGAGTGAAAAAAAAGTCACTATAGTTTTGTTTGTTTGCTTTTAATAGGCCGAACTGCCCTAGTTTGCTGCAGGAGCACAGTTACCCTGCTGCACTTCAAAAGCTTAAGTTCAAACTTAGCGGAAGCAAAGCTTCTAAGTGCTGAATGGCATTGCCAGAAACCATCCACTACATACAGCTCTTGTTATGCGGCTACCATCCCATGATGACCAACCTGAGATGGAGCCTCTTTAGTCAAATTAAAACATGGAGGAAAACAATTTTTACTCGAGCTTGTCGTGTGGTTTTTCCTTTCCACCTGCTCAGACACTTCTGTTGTGTGCTCCTTCTTCCCACTGCTAATTCTCTTCTTCCACAGATGCCAAGAAAGAGAACGCCACTTTAACAGCAGAAAGTACTGATGGAAGCTGTTGCTTTCCATGCTATTTAAAAGCAAAGCTCACCTTTAAGGATGTCTGATGCACCTGAGTGAAGCTTTTCCAGTTTTTTATTTTGTTGTGTTCCCCCCTACACTCCCTTCTCCTTTCCATTCCTCCTTGTGACCTGGCTGGTAAAAGTCACCCAAACGGTCAGCACAGTGCTGTTCGCAAGACAGAAATGTTGGTGTGTCCCACCTGGCTGCAACACCCCAGCCCTAAGCTATACCATACGAGGACACGGTTCTCGCTATGCGCTTGATCACTTAATTCTGTTGGAAAGCCCTGAACGGAGGGTACTTTCAAGGTACTCACCTAGGCAGCAAATGCGTAAAAATGCACTGAATAATTACTACTGGAGCAGGAGTTGCCACTTAGGATCCCAGATCAGCACTGCAAGAAAAGCACTGGGGGGCGGGATAATTTAAATTTTAATTACCAGTCAAATAACTACTGTTTTCCTCTTTAAAGCTCACAGACTATCCTTTGCTATCAAACTAGGTTCAAGAACGTAAGAAAGAAAATTCAGAAGTGTGCATACCATGACAGTAAACTTTTCCTGTGGCGTTGGCTTTATGACGAAAGGGTATCTGTGCTGCCTTTGCACCTTCCTGGTAATAAACAGCTGACACAAACGAAGTTGCCCTCTTTCTTTCTCTCTTCCATCTGTCATACTACTAAAGTATCCATACTGTGGCTTCAATACCCAGCATGGAGCTATGGATTTTCTTTAAAGAGGACACGTACAGTACCCTGGCCCGCGCCAGCCCATTCAGCTCTCCGTATACTCTCTCCTGTCTCGTGCAGCCCCTCATTTCTGCTTCCTGGCTCCTTACAACATCTACATGCACCCTCACTCACTCCCCTTTAGGGTTGTAGCCCCCCACCCCCCAGTTCTGAAAGGTTATTTGGAACAGAACATTTCTTTCCGGGGTCTGTTCTGGTGTCCAAAACAATGCGGGAGGCTGTTCACAACGGGAGTGTTGCTCTCCCTTCTGTCACACTGAGTTCACTTAGTAAAGTACGGTTGGTTAGTAGAGTTCATCACCACTTGCCTCACTAGAAGAGCTCAGCACAAGCATCGCCTATCTGATTTCACCACTTCTTCTGAAGAGTGCACTACATTTGGGACAAACCCGCTCTTTACCCCTTCCCATCCCTCCTGGATTGAAATTTCCCCCCTTTTAACAAGCTCGTATATATCTCGAGTCAGATCAGTGAAGGCCTTCTCCACGTTAATGGCATCCCGAGCTGAGGTCTCAATGTACTTCATACCATATGCAGCAGCCAGTTTCTCAGCCTCGTGCCTGGTGACTTGCCGCTGTGTGTCAAGGTCACACTTGTGACCTACCAAAACAAAGACGATCTGGTACGGTTGGACGTGCACCTTGGTCTCCTCCAGCCACTCGTGGACGTTCTGGAAAGACCTGCGATTTGTAATGTCAAAGAGGAGGAGGCCGCCAACCGAGTTCCTGTAGTAGGCTCTGGTGATGGACCTGGAAATGAATGAGCCACAACAAAAGGGTGAGTTACAGCTGTTTGGGAAGAAGCAGGGCAGAGTGACTTTCACTTGGGTGTGTGTTTGTTTGTTTGTATCTTCTAATTTTTTTTTTCCTTAAGCCAAATGTAGTCCTTCTGAACACGTCTTTGTTTAAGAAAGCAGCATCACCAACACCCTGTCTATTCTGCAGAATACAGGGCAGCGAAGGCCATTCAGGCAACATCTTATCACTTTTAGCCAGTGCTCTGTAGAGCTTGTCGTTCAAAAAGACAACTAATCTTGGCTTAAAGATTTCATCCTTGGGTAACTGCTCCACTGATTTATTACAGCACTGTTCAAAATCCCCCCCACCATTTTTGGTCTCTATTTCTATCACAGATTTCTGTACGTCCTTTGCTGTTAAGTCTAAAGAGTCCCGTCCCCCGCCATGTAAGTTCTCCGGATACCTGGTGTAACCCGTTGGTTTAGAAGCACTGTAACAAATTGAAGGAGTCACTTGAAACCAAAACCACCCACTCTCTGACAGACACATAAAAGAAGGAAGCTACAGATTTGGAAGGCAGACCAGGGGGTTGTAGCTCCCCTCCACACACCCAGGGCTTTGGCACAGGGATATCCATTGACCCCCTACACTTTCTCCCATCACGCCGCTGGTCAAAATGACGTTACAGCGAAAGCACCACCAGGAGCAGCCAGTCTGACCTCCCGAGGAACAGCAAAATGATGCAACACCTTCCTAGGGGAATCTGCATTACTGTTGGTCTTGTTCCTGCCAAATGCTGACAACATTAAACAGTAACCAAAAAGCCTTCCGAACCGCGGGCTGAGAAACGGAGCGCATCTTCCACAACTCTTCCGAGCAAGGGCAGACTTCAACGCGGCCAGAAGCAGCACATGAAATCAGGTAACACAGGGCGATGGAGCGAAGCTGAGACCACAAGGCTGAGTGGAGCCACAGTTCAATGACTACTACACGTGGAAAAACCAAGCAGCTGTAAAACTGTGGGGTTTCTGCAAAGTCATGGATTTGCTCTAAATCCAGAAGCAATGATCGATTTCAGTCCCTGGAGGAATTCACACTCGGACCTGAACTTTCCTTGCCGGGAAAATGTAAGCACTGCTGCATTTTTACCTTGGGATAAGCCCTTTTTTTGGACATGCGAGACTGCTGTTAAGGAGTTCCTTGGTCCTGCAGTGTGTGTATCTAGAGAAACTGCCCCAAGGAAGGATGAACTGGGCTTTTCAAGGATTGCTTTATCAACAGACATGCAGCGATGGGTGAAAATCCACAGCCAAAACAGAAGAAAGCCAGAAGAGGGGGAAAAAAGACAGTTGGCTGCATTTGGATAATTTCTCCTCTCCCAGTTATCTGGCTGAGGGACAACAGTAGCTCTGCACACTTGGCGCTGAGGGAATTAGCTCTGCCTTTTGCTATCTAGCCAGCTGCAAACAGATATTGGCACTTTGAGTTCACCCCCCCCGCACTGTCACAGGCCTTTCTGCTTCTCCCTTGTGTTCCGTGCCATCAGCCCCGGCTCCTCCTGCCAACATCTACAACGCCTCAGGTACTTCTGAAAGACGTGACAGGATGTAAGCTGAACGCTGCTTTGAGGTAAAACTAGGTGAAGGTCTCGGTGCCTTTTCTTAAAGCCTTTTCCACAGACTGTTTTCCTTACCGACCTGCGGGAAGCAAACCGTATTACCTTCAGGCTGCACGTCATCCCCTAATTCCCTGCCAAGCCTCCCACCTTCCCTCCTCCCGCCACGCTCATACAAGCTCCGGCAGAGCAGTACGGGGATGTGCACCTATTTTGGCCAAGTTTTAACGTAAAGGTATTGCCTCTGTCTGGGAACTCTCCCCTGCTCTGTACCCATGGTGGGGACTCTTGTACCTGGGGAGGGTCCGGGCCTTTTTGTTCCAGTCCTTCCCCTCTCAGCCCAGGGAGAGCTGTTGGCTGGAAGGGAACAGCTCTTCTGTAGGTGGTGGTACACAGTTCCAGGGAGGGAGGGCTGCACATGCTTTTGCTTTTCGTTAGCATTACACAACATCACGTTTCAGACGAGGAACTCACAGTATCTGAGCAACCAGAGGTGGGCAAAACCTCCTGGATCCAGGTAGAATTGGACCCTGCTCTTCTACAGCCTCAAAGCAGGTTCAACGCCGCCCCAGGCAGCCTGTTTTGGGGTCTGATCTGGCACAATAAAATGGCACACGCTTAACTGTAATTTAAGCCTTGACTGCGCGGAAATTGCTTCTAATTTATGGAGAGTGAAAGGGCTCCCAACGGGGGTCAGGAAGAGCAGAAATGTAGCACAGCTGCAGACCAGAGAACGCCAACAAGATATCTTCAAAATAACTACAGTGGCTTCTTCCTTGTGGGGCAGCACTTAAACTATGCAAAGCAGACTGGAAATGCTCAAAGCAGAGAACTCTGTGAAAAAGCAGAGCTCATTCTTATGTATTCCCTTCTTAAGAAATTCCCTGTGGTACGACAAAAAAAGTTTAAGGGTTCTGGAGAGCACCTGCACCATTGTGCTTCTTGCCCGTGCCCACAGGTCTGAGAGGCTTCAGCTCGCTGCGGCAATAGCTACCTCTCGCCTTTTGCCAAGGAAAAGCGCTTGCAGGAGCCCAAGAGCCGCTGTCTTTAAGGAGCACAGTTTGTCACAGGGCTAACGGTGATCTGAAGGCGATGAACACAAAACAGATTTTTTTTGCCTGTTTTTTTTCATACTTCAGAGTGTAACATAAAGGCACCTGAGTCTGCTCACTTCCCTCTAGCTTTTTGCATTGGAAATTTAAAAGTCTGCGCCTTGGCAAGGGCATTTCAAAGTTCCATGATCTGGTTTTTTATGTCACTCACAGTTGCTGCCCCTTACGCTCT